TTATTTTTGATTTTTATCATAAAAATCATTTATAATAATCAAAAATAATTTTTTTTCAAAAAATTGCTAATAAAAGTTTATCCTTTTTTTGAATTTGCCGTAAAAAAATAACTTATGTGTGTTTTTCCCTCTCTTCTTGGCGCTTCCTAAAGGCTTCAATTTTTTTAAATTCATAACTCTTATTTGCGGTCCCTGGTAGTAATTATTGATAGCCCAAATTAGAGATAAATACAGTTGCATTATGCAAATCAAAATAATTCAATTCAATTCAATCTAAAAATAATTAGCTTTATTTTATTAAGATTAAATTTTCAAATGAGAAATCTAGCAAATAGAAATTCAAACATATTCAATTACAATTGATATGCCTCATTGAGTATTTGCATAGCTTAATATTTTCTTAAGAATTGCTTGTATTCATTTGAGCCATCAAATTTAAAGTAGCTTTCGCTCTGCACTGAATTTATTTACAATGTAATAATAATTTTACGTTTAGCACTTTGCATTTCTACTGTGAAGTAAATATATGCTCACTTTTTATTTTCCAGCAAAATTCGACTTTAATATTTCGCTGCTTGCTTACAAATCTGTCGCTAAACGAAATGTTATTCAAATTTATTTGTAAATTGAGTTTTACACTCAAAGAGAGAAAATGCTGCAAAATTTAGCAAGTTGCTTCGTTCAGCTTTTGCATACTTGGGCTAAGTAGTCCAGAATAGTTAACAAACTGTAACTCGTTAACTTCTTGAAGACTTGCTCAAGTATTCTCTCTTCCTCTCTTCTTCTGTTCTCACTCCATTTTCTTTCGGTGTGACCCACATATGAGCAGGAGCAGCGCACACAATGCAGCCTGATTGAGCGGGCCTTCAATCAGAAGCTTAAGCCACGACCTGGACCTTGTTTACCTCCAGTGCGCCTCGTGCGCTGACAGCGAACTCGGAAATTGTTTATATCTTTTTTGAGATATGCCTGGCTCGCCTGCTATGTATATATGTTGGCTATAAGCACCGAGTTTCGTATATATTTGGACAATTTATGAAGGACGTCGCCTGGACGCCGTGTCAGGATGAGGGGTCGGAGCAGAGGGATTGGAGTAAACCAAGCCACAAAATGCCCCTAAGACGCAAAGGCCATGAACTACGACCTCAACTCCGTGCCCTTTGGGATTAGAGACAAATTAAAATTGTAATATTTTATTTATGTTGTGTATTGTTGTTGTTGTTGTTGTTGTTGTTGTGGCACAATAAATGCTGAGGCAGGACATTCGTCCTGCCACATTGTCATTCGATGCGGAAGGGGCTTCCATAGAGACGGCAACTTTTGGCATGGTCGGCAGTAGGGTGTGGGGGGTAGGGGAGGCGGGCCCAGTTGGTCTGTTGGTATTAGGGGTTAATTTGTGTGTTTATTGCAGTTGGACAAGTTTGCGTTTGTGTTTGTATTTGGTCGCCGTGGGTGGGCGGCAGATACTTAAATGTATTTACCAGCAATACAGCAACAGCAACAGCAACAGCAGCAGCAACAACAAACAACGACAACAGCAGCAACACCAACAATAAGTAACAACAATGAGCAAACGGCAAATGCCGAACGGCAACGAAAAATTGTAGACTATTTAAGAAATTTATGTGCGGATGTTTCGCCGTCGGGATATTTCCGGTTTATGATGATTATGTTTTGCGCGCCAGCACCCGCACTTGCCTCCGTCCAGCTGCGCTCTCCCTCACTCACATACACACTCTCTCTCTCTCTCTCTCTCTCTGTCTGTCTGTCTGTCTGCTACCTCAACTCAATTCCCTGGCTCGCCTGTCGACTCCTTGTGGTGCTACGTTTTATTTTCGTTCATTTTTAACAAGCGGATTACGCTTTTGCCACGTTATTGTTGTTGTTGTTGTTGTTGTTGCTTTTATAACTCTGTCTCTATGCAATAGCTCTGAGCCGGAGCTTGGGTCGGACTTTCATTTCTTTTGTTGCTGCCAGCATAATGCATAATAATAATCATAACAATAATTTCTTTTATTTCTATTCGTTTTTATTTTTTATACGCTGACCAAAGTTTTTTATTTCTTCGACGCATAATTCTTGTGTGCATTTTAATTATTATTTGAAAAGCATTTTTACGCATTTGCATTTCATTCTATATTTACTTAAAATATAATGTTCTTGAATTGCTTTCCATGGCTGAAACACCTATCATCCTTAGGCAAATGCGATTTAAAGTTTATCTTCCACTCTCAGCATGCAAATACATTTAATATACGTTTGCTGGTCAGTTTGAATATAAAGCTTAATTAGTTTTTAGCATTAAAATGTAATAAGTTTAAGAGCTTAAATCAATCTTGATTTGATTTCTTTGATTCATTACGTTTTGTTTGTGTGTCCCCAATGCGTGCGATTCGCATTCATTTCCTGTGCTGAATCCCGTGCTGCAACTGTTTCACCGCAATTCCGCAGTTAAATGAACAGAGCTGGCAAATTGCTGGAGCAACCACAGTAAATGTGGCTTACAAAGCCACCAGAAGCTCCCCTCGTACCACTTCCAACTAGCCAACTTCTTAAAAAGTGAACAACTCCGAATTTGCAGTACGCAGAGAGAGAGAGAGAGACAAACGGCATGAAAGGAGTGCAAATTAATTTGCCTGACAACAAAAAGAGTGCGAAGAGTAACGGCAGGAATACACACACGCACACGCACACTCACACAAAGAAGTGGGGTATTATTTTTATTTCTTCATACAAAGGCGACATCGTCTGGCTTTTATTATGGGTATTCCGCTCACTGGCATTACATTTAGTGCCTGGCCATTGTTGACGCTACTGCTGCTGTTGTTGTTGTTGTTATTGTTGTTGTTGCTGCGATTGGTGTTGCCTTTGGTCAACGGCCGGCCACAAAAAGTAATCTCTGAGCATAAACGCATAGCCTGGCTGCAATTATGCCGAATGCTGAGCATAATGCGACCACAATTTTCATTACCACACACAGCGAACGGGGGCTTTTTGGATATGTCCACCCAAATGTCACTCCAACAACAACAACATCAAGAGCAACAACAACAAATAATGCTAAATTTTTATATTAAAGCTCCTGTGTTTGTGTATGTGTGTGTATGTATGTAGTATATTTATGTATGTGCGTCTCTGGTGCTAAGCCTGAAAACGCGGCCACGACAAAGTCGCGCATAAAGCCAAAAACAATAACTGGGCTTTAACCCGTCGCCTAGCTGCATGCACGCCTCATAAAAGTCTAATTAATTAAAATCGTGCCCGAGTCGCCCAGAGGCATCACCGACAACGCGACGAGCGCCCCCAACGGCAGCAACAGCCGCAGCAGCAGCAACAGCAGCAGCAGCAACAACGAAAGCAGCAGCAGGAGTCGCTGTGGGTGCGTCAGCCAACGGCTCGTATGCGTAATGCGCGCTGGGACTTTGGCGGCAGACGCTAATTAAAAGCCTGCAGCACAACTTTTCTAACAAACAAGATATGGCAATTGGCTGCCATTAGACCGAACGTAAAATACTCTAACAGATGGGAATTTACATATATGAAAGATAAGGTTTTTTTTTTTTTAATATTTATATACTTATGTTGTAGCTAAGATTGAGATTGAATAGATATAATCTATTAATTTATTAATTTGTAAAAGATAATTATAGTTGAGGCATTATCAGCTAGAGACTCAATAGGGATGAGTTTTTAGTTACAAATTAATAAAAATAAAACTATATTATTTTTATTTTTTTATTTATTTATTTTACTAAGATTTTTAGATGATTTTTTTTTTTTTTTTTTGCCTAATATTTTAGAAATTTGTATAAAATATAAACATAAATAAAATATATAATTAATTTGCAGTATAGAGTTGTAAATATTCAGCAGTATGCCGATATACTGTCTGTCTCTCTCTCTCTCTCTCTCTCTCTTACACACTTTCGCTCTCCCCTTCTCTCCCTCCCACTCGTGGCACATTTAGCAAAGCTCTTCGCTCAGTCAGCATGCCCAGTGGGCGCATTGAACGGCTGCAAATATCAGCTGCTAGAATAGTAGTTACAAAGGAACTGCCAACACACTTTTCCAGCGAGTTATAAAGTTAATCAGGCCTCAAATGTTATCCCCAGTGAAAAGCTAAAGCTGCGCCAGCATCAGACGCAGCTGGAGCCATTGGAGCCGCTGGAGCAGCAGCCGCATTGGAATTTGATTAAAAGTACTTTTAATAAAGTTCCTTTGCTACCATTGATGATATTTATTGCATGCGTTTTTCATGGCCTCCTCCCCTCCGAATGTTAATTAGTTTTTATGATGTGCATGTGTGCGTGTGTGTGTGTGTGTAGACGAGCGCGCACACAAGCCGGATCAAGCCTGCAGGATTATGGCTTATTAAAAGGCTTATGAAAGTCAAAAGAAAGTTTACTTAATTTCAGTTAGTTAAGCGCCAATGAAAGCGGCCCACTTGAGCATTGACCAAAAAACTTTTCGCTGCCCTTGCCAAATGGCCAATAAAAATGGCTTAGCTCGATACAGCGGCCAACAGGGAGTTGGCAATTTCACAAGAATTTTTTTGGATTAGACACTCGCGAGTTTATGGCCCGGACATAAATTCAAATGGTCCAACATAAAATCAAATAAAAATCTGCAATAAACATCAAATTGACAACACGTTGAGCACAATTCCGGCCATTGTCGTGGGTTGATCTCGGAGCCAACTTATTTGCATGCTTGGCTTTGCCCATATTCGGTTTAAAGCAAATTGTTTTCCTCTTCAATTTTCGCTACAAATATGAGCAATTTCTTTCAATTACGGCGCAACTTCAAAGCATGTTTGGAAAACTACAGACGAGTGAAAAGAAGTCAGCAGAACGAATAAATTCGACTAAATTGTAAGCATTATTCGGTCAGCTTTTCGCTAGCCGGGGCCAATTAATATTTTTGTTGTGCTGCAGCCTTTGCTCTATTCGGTTTCCTTGTTAGCCGCGTCGTTGTTTTGGCCGGTAGCCAGGGACAGTCGCCTAACGCTTCAATGACCAAATGCGTACCTTTGTCCAGCCCCTGCCTGTGGCCGGGCACGTTTCTGGGTATTTTACCCCGCAATTATGAGCGCAATTGTGCGCACTTTTTCCCCGGCTTTGACTGCGCATTTTAATGTTTTCTCCAGTTTTCCCTTTTATTTTAAATTTTTCCTTTTGGCAGAAATAAAAAAGGAAAAGAAACATAAAATAAAATAAAAAAGATCGTTAAGAAAGAGTTTCAGACATGCTGGGCACGTGCTGATTGATGTAAAATGCGTAATGAGCGCGGTTGCACCTGTGACAGGTGGGTGGGTGCCCAAGGTATAGATAGATAGATAATGACCGCTCTGTGATAAAAAGTTTTCCAATTAGAATATACCTAGCAGTTACCCAGTGCACTTGGAATGTTCGACCCTTTTCCCTGGCCACTCGCCAATGAGCCAATTAAAAGCAATCTAATGTAAAATGTATTAAAAATTGCTTTTATCTTATTTTATGTATAGTAATTATTATTGTACAGTATTTTCTAGGCATTTAGCTTTTATTTATTATACTAAATATACTGCAAGCGTATTAAGTAAAGTAATATTAATAAACTCCTATGTAAATAAATAAATATTTTTGTAGACTTTTATTATAAATTAAAAATATTAAAAATTAAATACATTAATGTTGTATGCTTTATTTCATATTTTCTATTTAAAGATTTAAAACACCCACCCTTTGTTCATGTTTTATCTATTGTCGCTTAGCGACTTATCGATTATTGTGGCATTACAGCAAAGCACTCTAAAGTTCTCTTCACTTTGCAACTCTTTCTCTTCATAGCAATCTCTCTCTCTCTCTCTCTTTCATTCTATATCCATCACTCTTTCTCTCACTCTCTATCTATCTACCTCCCTCACTCTCTTTGTACATCTGTCTCACTCCGCACTCTCTCTAACTCAATGACTTTGCCTCTCTCTCACCATTATCGTTTCCTCTCGCAGTCTGTCTCTCTTTCCCACTTCTATCAGTCCTCAGTAGAGCAGCGGAACAGTCAGACGAAATCGTGAACGCCGCAGCAGAACACTGACTAGCTTAAGGCCCACGCAGACAATGAGCAGTACGGCCAATCCAGATCGGAGAACTAGAACCGATATGAAGCCCAGATTGTAGTACTGTACGATGGACATATCTTCCTTCCAAATGCGCATATGCGGAGCACCTTTGTGGCGCAGCACATATTCAGTCCACCAGACGGCGTTCTGCAGCGGAGTCATGGGCATGTCGCGCAGCCTCCTGGATGTTTGATGCGCATTTTCTGAATAAAACGGATTCTCGATGAGCTCCTTTATTAACTTCGTTATGGAATCAACAGTCATCGTGGACGGATCCAGTATTTGAGCCAGTCCGGATTGCTTCATTAGCTCGGAGTTGGCGAACTGATCGTAAAACAGCGGCACACACAGCATGGGCACCCCGTAATAGGCGCTCTCAATAATGCTCAAGACTCCGGCATTGGTGATGAACAATTTCACATTCGGATGAGCCAACAAAGCCCGCTGCGGCAATATTTGTCTCACATATACTTGATCCGATTTGTTGGGCAGCGGCTCCTCAAATTTGAAGACGACGCGCTGCTGCAGCTGCTGAAAGCTTTGCAGCATCATTTCGACCAGCATGGGCGGGAGCCAGCTCGCAGCTACCTCCAATCCCATCGAGAAGATGATGACTCCATGCTCGGCTGCATCCACAAATTGCTGAAGCTCCTCATCGAGCTCAGCGCACGGCTGTTCCAGGTGCATGCCCGCCACCTCGATGACATTGGGAACGTTGGAGCGGGCCCGCCCCAGGCTGAAGTGCTGATTGATCAGCACCAGAGCGAAGTTTTGCCGAATATTATATAGACTCTCCGCACTTTCATGGAAGTAGCGCTTATACAGGGCCAACTGCTTGGGCAGATACACCATCTGCTCCAGCAGCCACTCCTCTGTGATGTATATCCAGTTCCTGATCTTATTCAGAATGCTGAACCCATTCGAATAGCCATTTGCCACTATTGGCTCGTACACACTGATGGCCCTATTGCCAGCCAGGTAGTTAATGCTCCAAGAGGTTCCACAGATCGACAGCCCCACCAGCGGGGCCTTGAAGTGGTGTGCAAAGCCAAAAAGTGCATCTGTGAACGTTGCTTCGACTATCACCATGTCGAACTGGGCACTCGCATCCTGGAGCAGCGCCTGGACACCCGGCTCACTGAGCACACAGTTCGAGGACTTGTAGAAGAACGATGCGACGAACGAGGCCTCTTCCCACTTGGCCAAGGGAAACTTCATGTCAACGGTTGACTCTCTAACATCTACAATTTTTGTTGAAATATTCGAATATCAATTAATGGAATGTAAAGAGTGAACTGCATGGCATAAAGATAACCCAAAGATTTCTATTAACAATTGTAAAATTGCTAGCCTCCTTTCAAGAGCATATTCCACTGCAATCAAAGATCGAATTCGTATACCTTGTGTGTGTTTCATCTATTGCTCACCTGCCATTAAGTGATCCAGCGCGTTGACCCGTATATGACGAGCGCCGTCGATGTCCGGTAAATATTTCCTTCCAGCTGAGATGATGGTTACCTGATGGCCCTTCTGGACAAGCGCCGTCATGTAGGGCGTCAGGAACAGGAATGACGACGCAGAGCTATATGAAAATATGGCTAAAATATTGGCAGCAAGTGCCTGCTGTAGGCAAACACCGATTACTAGCAAAGCGCCACTCAAGTGCCCCATCATAGTGCGGCACCACGACCGAACATTTCAATGCTCGCGTTCGTACTGGGCTCTATTGAAGCTATCGCCGGACTTGGATAGTCTGAGGACTCAGCTGTGGAGAGTGCAACTAATCTTATCACTGGCATTGGCATTGATATCGACTCCCAACGACGAGTGGGCCGAATACCGTTTCAGTTGCATTTCAATATTGGCAGCAACAGGAAAAGCAGACTCTGCAAATTGATTTGTTTTGATTGTTTACTGAAAATAAATATTGATTGGCCTTCAGATATAGAAGTTGTTGATTATTTAATAAAAGTCATAAAAAATCTAAAATATTTAAAGATACTAAAGTTTATTTGGCAAAACTATACACATTTGCGTGCTTATCAAGGTGCTATCTATAAAGAAATAATACATATTAATTGCCGTGTCGTTATCAACTGATAACAGCTGAAAATAAAAAGAGCAGAGAAGCGAGCTAGTGAGCGCAGCTATACGAGAGTGCTCAACTTGTAGCTGAGCGACTTATGGAGAAGAAAATACAGACAATAAACCTAGACTTTAATATGATATGAAGAATCAGTCCTCTGGGAAATGGACTTATCCGCATGTCCAAGCTTCTCTACAATGATGTCTTCAGATTCAATATCGACATTGTGAGAATACTATTTATTCCCCAATCCAAATTTATCATAGTGGGAAGACACACAGAGCATGGAAGCTGCACAGTAGAGCTTTTCTAGAAGCCAATAGCTAAAACAAGGCTGTTCTACAGTTGGATGTAGATGTTGTCCGACTTTTGCTGCTTGTCGTGCCCAAAGATGAAAGGAACTACTCAGGCTTCAGCTCGGCTGCATCGAGGACACTTAAAGCTGAAGCGATTGCCAGCTGAGATTATTTTTACTTGAGGCCTTTGTCGGCATTCGCTCTATATGGACTCGCACACAGAAAGCGCGAAAATAAGGCTGAAATGCAGGCAGGTGAAAGCACACACTCAACGCCGTCAAGCCATCGCCCACATGAGCTGCGCTGCTCCGCCGCCACGTCCGCGCATATCACTGGGCGCGCTCGCACTGGGCATTATTGAAATTATCGACGGGCCTGGGTCGATTGTGGGCAGAGGTAGGCAGAGCAGGGCTAATCTTATCAGTGCGCTGCTATGGGTAGTTGGTTGAGGGGTAAATGGCGAGCATCTCTCCACTTCAGTTGGATTCCGCACTGTGAACGGGCGGCTTGCACAATGCGGCTGCAGCTGCTGCGGATTGGGGGCCTAGCCCTCATGACATTACTGCTGTCGGGCTGCCGGGTCTGGGCTGGCAGAATATTGGCCGTGTTCCCCTATGATATGCACTCGCAGTGCATGCTACTGACGCCCTACCTGCTGGCGCTGCTGGAGCGGGGTCATCAGCTGACGCTGATACACAACCTTAAGAGCTGCGAAGTGGTTGAGCAGCTGCATTCGATACGCATCAGCGAGCACTATAACGCAACATTTGGTGAGTGGAAGAGATAATTATGAATGAATTGAACGTAAATTCAAATAAATAAGTATTCACTATTAAAATTATTTATTAGGGATAAATTTTAAAATTATTTAAAGAAATAAATTATTTAAATAATAATAAAATAAAATAAAAATGCACCTTCAAATTTATATATAAGGGGCAGTTTAATTAAATAAAATTGCGCTATTATAATTATTTGATATTTGATATTACTTTAAATTATTAAAATTCAATTTAAAATTTTTTTAGATATTAAATTGAAATTAGTTAAAAAAATTCTAAATTCTATATTAAAGATAATTTCTAATATTACGGAAACCAAATTAAATAAAATTAAAGTTCACTCTTAAAATTCTTTACTAGGTATCATATTTTAAATTCAATTAAAATAATAAAAAAATCATTGGTAAAAATATTTGAATACATAATTTTTTTAAATATTAAAATTAAATTATATAAATTATCTTATAGATTTTGTTTTTTAAATTATGGAAATTATATTAAAATAATTTTAAAATTCTAAACTCTTTATTAGAGGTAATTTTCCAATTTATTGCATTAAAATAGGTAAATTAAATATTTAAAACAAAGTTATGAAATGAAATGATGTCAACATTGTTTATTAGATTTACTAAATTAACTCAAAACGCATTCTGAAAATGCTCATTCCAAAACAGATTACAATCCTGAATCGTTTACGGTAACGTCCCGATGGGTGGAGATGGACTTCATCAGAAAGTACTTCATCAAGATAAATCTAAATGTGCTCTCCACGCCCGCGGTGCAAGCGCTCCTCAATTCCAATGCGAGTTATGATCTGGTGCTCATAGAGCCCTCGTACACGGATGCGCTCTTCGGGCTGGCGACGCATTTCAATGCCAGTCTAGTTGGTCTGGCCACCTGTGGATCGGATTGGAACGTGGACACCTTGGTGGGCTACATTCCCTCCTCATCCCTTGAGCCCCTTATGCCCAGTGGCTTTAAGCGCGCCGTGACGCTGCTGGACCGCATCAACAACTGGATCCTCATCGCGGAGGAGTGGCTGATACACAAGCTCATCTTGTTGCCATCGATGCGATCAGTGCACGAACATTTCTTTGGCAACCTCAGCCAGGGATTCATGGACATACGACAGAGCTTCTCGATCGTGTTGCTGAATCAGCACTTCAGCCTCTTCCCTGCACGCTCGAATGTGCCCAGCTTGGTTGAGGTGGGCGGCATGCATGTGCCAAAGGTGGTGGAAAGGCTGCCGCCGGAGCTGCTCGAGTTTATAGAAGGGGCGCAGCATGGAGTGATTATCATGTGTCTGGGCTTGGAGGTGCAGAGCCGGCACCTGTCGCCAGCGACGCAGGCACTGATGGCCGAGGCTTTTCAGACGCTGCCTCAGCGTGTCATCTGGAAATTCGAGGACGATTCCCATCCTGCGGTGAACAGCAGCAGTATCTACTTCAGCCAGTGGCTGCCACTCCAAGCCCTCCTCGCGCACCCCAACGTGCGCCTCCTGATCAACCATGGCGGCATGCTGAGTGTCTTGGAGGCCGCCCACTTCGGCAAGCCCGTGCTGGGTCTGCCCTTGTTCTTCGACCAGTTTCGCAACATGGAGTGCCTGCGCGAGAGGGGCGTGGGCGAGCTGCTGGACATCAACACCATGACGAGGCTAGACTTTGTCAAAGCAATCAAGCAAATCCTGGAGCAGCCCCAATACAAACAAAATGCGATCAAGCTCTCGGAACGCATACGGGATCAGCCCCTGCATCCACTGGACCTGGCCGTCTACTGGACGGAGTACGTGCTGCGCCACAAGGGCGCACCCTATATGCGCATTTCCAGCTCCCACATCAAGGTGCTGGACTACTATTGCCTGGACAATCTCTTAGTAATCGTCGGCCGCATTGGCCTGCCCGTTTGCCTCCTGCTCTATGTGCTGCACAAGATAATTAAAAACAGGCAGCCATAGAAAGCAGTCGTCGAACCGGTCACATATTCCGTTATCTTATCAGCGAATGGCAATTACGCTTTTTAATCAATGGAAATGTTTGTGTGGATAAGTGTGGATGGTGTAAGTGTTTATGTGTGTAAACCATATTATAGAGTATTATCTATTGTTAAGTATTGTCGAAAACTATTTTTAGCAATATAATAAAATAAAGATTACAATTCAAACGAAAACTAAAAAATTGTTATTATGATTTTAAAGCTCATCATAACAATAATAATTAAGTTCATAAATCATGCGGCACCTAGTCAACAATTTGTGTGTTGTACGAGCATCAACAAATTCTATTCTCCGAGAGAGTCAAAACTTAATTGAAACTGGAAAGCGTCGCTCTATAATATACGCTCTATAGTGCGGACAGAGCGGACGACGTTGTATACTAAAAACACGGCAAAAAAGCTTAAGTTGAGCGAGACAGCAAGAGAGCGAGAGCGAGAGATACAGACATAAACAGCAACAGGGAGAGCGAGAGAGACACATAGTGATGGAGCGTGAGAGCAACGACGACTCGACTCTTACATAACAACAGAAAATTAGTAAACAAACAAATTTGTTGTCAAACGCGTGCCGTTGACCGAGCAGCGCCCACATAGTATACTTAAGCTGTGCTAAAAATAAATGAAAATACTAATAAAATATATAGATGTACATATATAAAACGGGAGCTACGTTACGCTTCAACAATTTTTGTGTTTTCTAACTGGCGGCCTTCAATTTCCACAAAATAGCGATCATTGAAAACACTTTCGATTGTTAATCTTCAGTTAGGAGCGAACCGCCAGCCCATTTGGTTTACTGTTTTGCTGTAGTCCGAAAATGCAGCTGCTTTGCTTGGGGATTCTCGTGGGGCTGCTCCAGCAGCTGGCTGGGGGCGTGCAGGGCGCCAAGATATTGGCAGTTTTTCCATTCCCCGGCAAGTCGCAGTACATATTCGCGGAGCAGTACCTTAAAGAGCTGGCCAGAAGAGATCACAATGTTACGGTCATAAATACTTTCGGCAGCCGGGAAATGTCGCCGAATTTTAGAGTAATTGGCGCGACTAAAATACACGAGATAATGGCAGGTGAGATTATTATCCCTTATCAATGTAAGTGCGCAAGATAAGATAATCCGGACTAGCTTTTGGCAGTGCGGACTACAATCAGCAGGCCAGCCAGTGGACAACGCTCACCATGACCACGGAGTTCCTGAACGTGCTGACGAGCTGCGTGCTGGAAGATGACAAGGTGCAGCAGCTGCTGCGCGGCGACGAGACTTTCGATCTGGTATTGCTTGAGACTGTGCAGACCGAGGCATTGTTCGGTCTGGCGCAGCACTTCAAGGCACTGACCATGGGCATCTCCTCGTACGGCACAGATCGCCACATCGATGAGCTGATGGGCAACCTATCGCCACTCTCCTGTAACCCCATGCTCCTCTCGTCGCGCACCGAGCGCATGAGCTACGAGCAGCGGCTGTGGAACGTGTGGGACGCCAGCCTGAGCTGGGTGCACAGGCGCCTGGTCCATTTGCCCAGCCAGGAGCGGCTCTATGCGAAATACTTTCCCAATGCCAGCCGCACACTGGAGCAGGTGCTGGACAGCTTCTCGCTGATGCTGCTGGGCCAGCACTTCACGCTCAGCTATCCGCGTCCCTATCTGCCCAACATGATTGAAGTGGGCGGCCTGCACTTGCAGCACTCGAGAGAGCCTCAGCCGCTGCCCGACGACCTGGCCAAGTTTGTGGCTGAGGCCGAGCATGGCGTTATATATTTCTCAATGGGCTCGAACATCAAGAGCGCCGATCTGCCCGTGGCCAGGCGGGAAGTGCTGCTGCAAGCCTTTGGCAAGCTCAAGCAGCGCGTTCTGTGGAAATTCGAGGCGGAAGAGTTAACGAATCGGCCAGCCAATGTGCTCATTAGCCAATGGTTCCCCCAGCCGGACATCCTGGCGCATCCCAATGTGAAGCTCTTCATCAC